AAAAGTATGCTTAACAATTATGAAGCATGCGATTCCTCGAAACCCAACTTTTTTTCGCAGAAGAGGAGCTACCACAACTGTTTAGCACACGTTTGATCAAAGGATCGGCTTCACTCGTCTCTTTGACAAGCTGTTATGTGGTGCTAAGAATGGCGAGACTCACTGACGATGCCGACTACGATGCCAGCGAAACGTTTGGGAATGTACCACATCCAAGGTCCGACTTTGGAAATTATCATGCATACAATGGACTCTGGACTAGGTGCGTTCCTCCTACCATTATGACAAAGTTGCGAAAACAATGTCAAACAACCTCTATACAACGAAAGGAGATTGCGACCACCACACCATCTTGGTCTTCATATCTTGATGCAACTAACTAAGTTGAGTCAAGAAGATTTTGGGCTCAATGTCTCTAAAGTTGCGCGCTTTTACTCTACTTGAAAACCTACCCAGTCTTAATCTAACCCCGGTACCAAGGATGTGTCGCATGCGCCAATCTTCTGCCTACATTTACAGGATACCAATTTTTTGTATTAAATACTGTGTTGTATTGCAGATATGACCCTCTAGAGCATTTATTGATCAGTAACAGCGCTCCAAGAAGGCCTGATTCACTCTATGTCAAATGAAATAGTATGTTATGTCGTTATTTTGGTAACTTTTTCTCACACTGCAGCCTACGAGACGCAACCACTTGTTCTTGCCAGCGCTGTTAGCTCGTCATTCTCTGGCGCGTTTGCATTCAGTTCCTTGCAGCTCAGCCTCGAGCTCGGCTTACCAATCTACTGGCAGGCTTGTGGTTTGCCTCTTCTCGACTCCTCATTCTCACCAGCACGCAGCCAACGTCTCAGTCTTGCCGAGCTGATTCTTGACGCAGAGGATTGGCTTGTTGCTCAGACAGGCCTCCGGACGGCAGATGAGTCTGCCTACCCTGGGGACAGGGGTGATGGGGTCCGATGCCTCTGCTCTGAGCCCGGCAACCGGCCGTGTCTGCTGGTACAGATTGATGTCTGGAGAGAGCCACTGTCTATCCGCGATGGAGACTGGGAAAAAGGTGGAGTAGTGAAAGATGACCAAGTTGATGGAGAAGACAGCCGAAATTCAGAAAAAAGAAATGAAATATATAATGAAAAACAGAGCACCTGCCGCCACATTGAGGAAAAGCGGAGCATCTCAAACCGATTTTGGGGTGAGAACTTTTTTCGACCTCTTAGAACAAATTTTACATTGTCAATATGACCAGCATTGTTACTACCACTATTGCCAACACCACCAACACCACTATCACTACTACTTCTGACATTATTGCTATTATTATTAGTTTTAGTAATAGCAGCTTGATTACTACTACCATCACCACCACCACTACTACTAGAAATACCACTATAACTAATACCGTTGAAATTATTGCTATTATTAATAGTATCAATAGAAGCAGCTATATACATATATGAGCTGTGCTCACTCTATTTCGCTTAAGGTGATGAAGGAATGGTGGCTTAATTTTCCCACAATGATATGATTAGACATGACGTTTCCATTAATTTACAAAAAATTTCTCGAAAACCAATTCAAAGCGAAATATATTAATGCCACCACTGTTACTACTAATACCACCACCATCACTACTACTACTAACACTATCACTACTACTATTAACAATTTTTAGTATTGCTAGTATTATTAGAAGCAGCTAAATTACTAATACCACTATTACTGCCACCACCACTATTATCACTACTAACGCTGTCATTATTGCTATTATTACTGTTTTTAGAAATAATGTCCTGATTACTACTATCATTGCTATTACCACCGCCAATACTACTACTACCATTACCATTACAACTACCATTATCACTACTTATGCTGCAATTATTGCCATTATTACTAGTCTTAGTAGCAGCAGTTAGATTACTACTACCACTACTACTACTACTACCAACTCCATCGCCACCACCACAATCATGATTATTACTAATATTATCTACTCTGTAAAATTGAGTGTTAAAGTTTATTGTGGCTTGTAATTTGGACACAACTACCAATGTTCTTATCGTTTTGATGTCACCTTGTTTCCGCAAGCTATTCGCGTCTTCAGGGCGACTTCGAAGAATTCGTCCCATCTCCTTTCTCTATCCTTGTGCCATGTTTCCCCTTAGCCTCTGAACTTAATTCGATTCATTTCCAAACATTTATCCTGCACAGTAATCAGCATCGTTATTTGAAAAAAACAGTCTCCTTAAGCGACACAGGTGGGTTAAACGGCCTTAAAAAAGTTTCCCCCTCTTTACAAGTGCCCGTTTTGCACATTTTTTCTCTCTCAAGGTATCAATTACGACAGTTACCAATGGACTCGTTCGTCTACCGATGGTTTCGAGCCTGGCGCCAACTGTCGCCTGTTAAGTCCGTCCGAAAGTGGGCACCACCTCGTAGCGACAACACGCTGTTGCCTCGGCCAGTTGTTGCTTTCATCCACTGGCTGCATGGGCCCTGTTTGGCAGGCGCTAATGGCGGTCAGCCGAACGGCCCAAGATCAAGGGGGTGAGCATAAACCAAACATTCATTCGATAAGGAATGCTATTTAAGCATAATTTCATTTTTATTAATAGTTTGTAGTATTTTCGACATATGAATAGTATTGCTCTAACATTATAGTATTTTTATTTTTTTTTATTTTTTATTATACCATTATACAGTCGTCTGATGCCACTTTGGCGTTCAATTTGACGCACTTTACTAGATATCATCTCTCGGTTCATCCAAACTATTACAGACAACATCAGTGCTCTTATTCCTTCAAGAACGTCAAGTCAACACTAAATCACTAAAACCAAATGGCGATGCTTTACATTTTATATATACTTATAAATAGAAACTAATTTAAACTTTGCATATATATATATATATAACACACAATATCGCATACTTAAATATGCGTCAGAATAAGAGGGTCGTACACTGTTGAAAACAGCTGAGACATTATCCACTTCCTTTTCATGAATTAACTTCATCCTTCTACATGTACGCATGGTAGGCAGGAAGCCATCAAATAAATTATATGATGTCTCATTAATATCGAAAAATTAGGTTTACTATTCTTTTTATTCTCTTTACTGATATGGTATTTAAGAAAGTATGGTTTCTCACTTTGATAATATATACCACATGACAGACGAAAGTTTAGCACAAGTTCACTGGAGTCGAAGAATTGCGATCCGAGGACTTATTCTTGAATTCCAACAGTCCCCAATCCAATGTGACCTTGCTTCAGTCTCTGGCAAAAGGAATTCACGAATTTTTTCAGGATGTCAATATATCTCCTAGTCTTTATCCATTTATGTTCGAATTATACTTTGCGTAGTTATCGATTACTAACTATTTGGAACTAAATTTTTTTTTAATATATGAAGACTTTTCGTTGTATAGCTTAAGCTTGACCTCGCTTTCGCAATTTGGCCGTATTGTCAGTGAGACCTAGGTGAAATTAACTACTAGGGGTGCTAATTCCTTGTTCAAAAATATAAATTTGGGGATTTACAGAAATATTTGATTAGGCTTTTTTCATGTACATGAAAGTGTACATGATGGCGTGGGTTTTTACTCACTTATGCTGATATATGGATGTGTGTATATGCATGCTAGTGTGTGTGTGTTTGTATGAGTATGTTTGAGATAAAAAATTAACCATTGATAGTGTTAGTGTGTTATGAAAACTGAGTGTGTACTACTCCCTCCTCTAGGATAAAGGACCTTTCTATTTGCATCATTACGAGTGAAAGATACCGGTCCGAGATGATGAGCTTCATTTTGGCAATCAGGCGTTTTCAAACTGTGTGCATATGATTGAAATCATACATGAAGAGATTAGTTTTTCCTAGAAGTTGGCTGCAAACATGATAATTCCTTAACTCCACCAATCGGACAACCTTCCGCCTACTTTGTAGCTTATATGACCTCAACTTACACCAAACTCACTATATTTTTCGTTTTTTATAAGAAGGGTTCGAGGCTACCAGTAAATCATACACATTAAATGTGCTCACCCTATTTCATTTATGGTCATGCAGGGCTGGTAGTTGAATTTTCCCGCAATGACATGAGAAGACCTCATAGTTTCATTGAATTTTACGTAGCCTTGCTTCCCAAAACATATTATTCTTTAGAATGGACTACGATTTCGAACTCGCATAGGTCTTATCTACAATGCAACCATGACAGTGCAACGTGAGATCTCTACAAGTTACACATTACGTCACACTCCTACGGATGCCCTTGGGTCACAGGGCAGATATGAATTTCAAGGAATGCCAGGCGTTCTCCCACAGACATTCTGTGGTGGAATTGCAGATGAAGCAAAGTTATATTTGCTATAACAATCAACTACGTTACTTATTTTTCGTTTTTTATAAGTAGGGTTCGAGACTGTTAGTAGATCACATTTATGAGAAATAGGGTGAATACATCATATATATATAATATGATCTATTGGCAGCCTTGAAAACCTACCTAGCATCGAAAAATAAGTAACGTAGTCGATTGCTATAGCAAATACAATTTTGCTTCATCGAAAATTCCATCGAAGTATGTGATATGAAAAAATGCCTGATCCTTCTTCTACTTCATATTTGCCCTGTAACCCAAGGGCACTCTTGACAGTGTGAGGTGATGGTTAACGTGCCGAAATTATACGTTGCATTACCACAATCCGGATCCGAGTTCCGCTGGGGCTGTTAAGGAGACAGGTTCAGGTGAGATCGAAACCGTAGTCCACTATGGATGACAATATCTTCTAGGTTTCCAAATTAATTGGAAGCGTGAGGCCTATTCATGTCATTATGGGAGAATTCTACTACAAGTCCTTCACTAGCTTAAATGGAATAGGGCAAATAC